GAATAGGCAACAAACAGGATGAAAGGACAAACACATAAGATTTAAAGAGCCTAGGATGATGGGACAAAAATAAAATGAACAGAAAAATTTAAATAAGGTATTTATTCCTTTGTGTTCCTGAAACTCCATTAAAATGACAGTAAAAGGGTGAAAAGAAGCACATACTCAGAAAACCTAAAAGGCTAAGAAGATACCACTAGACAAAAAGCATTAGGAAATCTGGAAGGAAAGCAAATAGAGGACTGTAAATTAACAGAACTGAGTAACTTAAATAAAAAGTGAGATGATGCCAGCCAGAAACAAGGTAACTTGTAATGCAGATGTTTTGAGAGAGGCTCTATAAATGGAGAGACCAGGCAAGAGTGGAAGATGGGGCACATAAGATGTTTATAAATGGAGCAGCTGCTGTCCCCAACTCTCCTAATGGAAATGGGAAGTTATTATCCAGACAAACTAAAACTGAGAGGCTCCAAATGTAATGACAGGCAAGGTAAATGAGAGGACTATAATAAAAAGAAAAGAATGGGTAAAAGTTTATACATAGTAGGGGCCCAAACCCTTTCTACTATTAAACTCCAAGAATGCTGGTGGTTGCCAGGTGTCAGATGATGGAAGGATTTTTTTCTGAAAAAATGAGAAGACCATGAGAACACCTACAGATACTAACTTATGAAATCATATAAAAGAAACAACTATATTCCTAACTGATTGCTACACAGTGATGACCATTATTTTAAAAGTCCCACCCATGTATACAGATTATAATCTTTCTGGTATTGCCTCAGGCTGCGTCTGAACTCTGTCCCCTTGAGCAACCTCCCACGTAGCCTCCCAAAGTGCTGAATTACAGGTGTGAGCACCTTTTACTGCTTAAAATGTACAACGTTGCACACTTCATAAATCAGTCAGATAAGAGAAACATAAAGAATAGGCAACAACAGGATGAAAGGACAAACACATAAGATTTAAAGAGCCTAGATGGATGGGACAAAAATAAATGAACAGAAAAATTTAAATAAGGTATTTATTCCTTTGTGTTCCTGAAACTCCATTAAAATGACAGTAAAAGGGGTGAAAAAGAAGCACATACTCAGAAAAACCTAAAAGGCTAAGAAGATAACCACTAGACAAAAAGCATTAGGAAATCTGGAAGGAAAGCAAATAGAGGACTGTAAATTAACAGAACTGAGTAACTAAATAAAAAGTGAGATGATGCCAGCCAGAAACAAGGTAACTTGTAATGCAGATGTTTTGAGAGAGGCTCTATAAATGGAGAGACCAGGCAAGATGGAAGATGGAACATAAGATGTTTATAAATGGAGCAGCTGCTGTCCCAACTCTCCTAATGGAAATGGGAAGTTATTATCCAGACAAACTAAAACTGAGAGGCTCAAAGTAATGACAGGCAAGGTAAATGAGAGGACTATAATAAAAAGAAAGAATGGGTAAAAGTTTATACATAGTAGGGGCCCAAACCCTTCTACTATTAAACTCCAAGAATGTGCTGGTGGTTGCCAGGTCAGATGATGGAAGGATTTTTTCTGAAAAAATGAGAAGACCATGAGAACACCTACAGATACTAAACTTATGAAATCATATAAAAGAACAACTATATTCCTAACTGATTGCTACACAGTGATGACCATTATTTTAAAAGTCCCACCCATGTATACAGATTATAATCTTTCTGGGGCCGGGCATGGTGGCTCACGCCTGTAATCCTAGCACTCTGGGAGGCCGAGGTGGCCGGATTGCTCAAGGTCAGGAGTTCAAAACCAGCCTGAACAAGAGCGAGACCCCATCTCTACTATAAAGAGAAAGAAATTAATTGGCCAACTGATATATATAGAAAAAATAGCCGGCATGGTGGTGCATGCCTGTAGTCCAGCTACTGGGGAGGCTGAGGCAGTAGATTGCTTGAGCCAGGAATTTGAGGTTGCTGTGAGCGAGGCTGACACCGCGGCACTCACTTTAGCCTGGGAACAAAGAGAGACTCTGTCTCAAACAAACAAAAAAACTAAAAAACAAAAGGAGGCAAATATTACTCAAAGAAAAGCAAAAGTTATACAAGAACCAAACAGAATCATAATAGATCATTGGTTTACCAATCAACAACACTTACAATGTTATATTATGTAAATGGCTAACAAATGATAAAAAAGTGATATAACTAGTACCAGCAGAAAGTAGGAAGGGAAGTAGTGATATTGGAGATTATATTTCTGAACCCATCTTTTAGCATGTTGGATAATGTCTAAAATGATAAATCAAAAATAGGTGAATACCTGTATAAAATATGGAATAAACACTAGTAGACAGTTAAGTGAGTTGACAGTGTTTGTCTATGTGGAGTATGAATTGAGGGTAAGAAAAGAGGGACAAACATATCCGAGATTCTATTTGACTTTTAAAAGCTTCTGATTCATTACACTATAGAATCAACCTTTAAGAATTGGGCTTTGACTTAAACCAATTGGAACAGTAAAATAACTAGACAGTGCTCTTGACTTTATCTTGTTGCAGTTGAGTCTCACACAGGCAAACAACAAAGCATACATTTACTTAATGAAGAAGCAAAAGAACATAGATGAAAAAACCCAGCCATCTTTGCTTCCAAATCTGATTTATTGCAGTGATTTAAATATTCGTACTATTATTTCTGGATTATGAAAACTGTCACTATCATAAAGTTCCGTTTTCATTTATTGTCTACTTTCATTATGCCTAATATACCCAAGCTCTTCTCTTGTTAGGACCCTTTTCTTCTCTCTAAAAACATTTCATCTACTAGCTAGAAACCTTCAATATTATCCTGATCTATCTCTCTCAGAATTTACCCTCATTTTCTTATAAATCAATGCAAAAAGTGACTCTGGTAATATACCGTTACTCATATCAATGCTATACTTCAAATTAGAAAAAAATGCCTCAACCCCTCTGCATATATAAGCAGAATTTCACTCAAAATGCATCACAGAACTAAAGCACTAAAACACTAACATACAAGAAAAAAGTATAAAGTAGACTTCATCAAAAGTAAAAGCAAGCCGGGCGCGGTGCTCACACCTGTAATCCTAGCACTCTGGGAGGCTGAGGCGGGCGGATTGCTTGAGGTCAGGAGTTCGAAACCAGCCTGAGCAAGAGCAAGACCCCATCTCTACTATAAAGAGAAAGAAATTAATTGGCCAACTAATATATATATATAAAAAAAAAATGAGCCGGGCATGGTGGCCCATGCCTGTAGTCCCAGCTACTCGGGAGGCTGAGGCAGAGGGA